GCTGATATTTTAACTTAAAAAATAAAGTTTAGTTTATTCATTTTTAACAACAACTTTTTTATTAATGAACAAAAAGAAAAAATACTGCTTATTTTCACGCCACAGCTTATTTGACCCATAATATTCCAAGAACGATTGCGTTGTCCGGTTAGTAAGAATTACGGTTTTTGTCGTTGCTTATGTTGACTGCATTCGCAACCTATGCATATTCCTCACTTTGGGTAAGATTTGATCGCGAAAGCACGAGTTACGACCATGGGAAAACGCACAACTATAGAACAACGTGAGTTGGTCCTAAATCATTACAAAACAGGACATTCTCGCCGGAAAATTGCTGAAATGGTCAATTTACCTGATGGCACAGTTAAAGCCATTATACATCGTTTTGTTTTTGAAAATCGCATCGAAAATAAAGAAAGAAAAGCTCCGAACAAAATTTTTAGTGCCTCCGATGAACGATTCATTGTTAAAAAAATCATTAAAAATCCCAAAATATCGGCACCAAAAGTAGCTAGTGAGATGCAGGAAATGACCGGGAAGTCTTGTTGTCCAGAAACCATCCGTCGAATTCTCAGAAATAACGATTTACACGGTAGAGTTGCACGTAAGAAGCCGTTTATAAATAAGAACAAGAAAGGAAGCTAACTTCGGCACGCCGAAGTTTGTATACCCTTGCAGATTGGTTTTGATGTTTATATTATAGATATAAATGTTGAAAACACTCACAAAATAGAGTTTCATTACAGTTTACCTATACTTATTATGTTTACAGTTAGACAGTTACAGTTTTACATTCCCAGCTTTACATATTTTATACAATTACCGATCGCTTCTATGGCAGCTATATGATATATTTGTCCGATTTTTATGAAATTTATACCAAAATTCTGAAATAATATAAAATGGCCATATCTAAAAAATGATGGAAAAATATTGAAAAACAGCAAAGTTATAATTTTTTTCCTAAAAATTTATCGAACATTTGTATGGCAGCTATATGATATAGTCGTCCGATCCGGCCCGTTCCGACATATATAGCAGTGAGAGCATATAGAAGACTATATGCAAAGTTTCATTCAGATAGCTTTAAAACTGAGGGACTAGTTTGCGTAGAAACGGACAGGTGGACAGACGGACAGACGGACATGGCTAGATCGACTCGGCTGTTGATGCTGATCAAGAATATATATACTTTATAGGGTCGGAAACGTCTCCTTCACTGCGTTGCAAACTTCTGACTGAAATTATAATACCCTGCAAGGGTATAAAAATCGAGAGTGGCGTTTGAAGTTTGCAAAGGAGCACATCAGCAAGGACTCTGAGTTCTGGAACAATGTAATTTTCGCGGATGAGTCCAAATTTAATATTTTTGGATCCGATGGTCGCACTTACGTATGGCGGAAAGCAAATACAGAGCTGCAAGACAAACACCTAAAACCAACCGTTAAGCATGGTGGCGGCCATGTTATGGTATGGGCCTGTATGTCCGCAGCAGGAGTCGGGACCCTTCAATTTATTGAGAGCACGATGGATAAAAATGTTTATCTTAATATCCTGAAGGACAATTTACTCCAAAGTGCCGAGAAATTGGGAATAAAAGAACATTTTCGATTCTACCAGGACAACGACTCAAAACATAAGTCTGGAATTGTGCAGTATTGGCTTATATACAATTGTCCTCACGTCATGAAACCGCCAGCACAGTCTCCTGATCTCAATGTTATTGAGAATTTGTGGTCGATACTGGACTCAAAAATTCGTGAACGGAATATTTCAAGCAAAAATGACCTGAAAACTGCTTTGAGTGAGGAATGGGCTAAAATCCCACCAGAAACCACAAGGAAATTGGTGGAATCGATTCCAAATCGCCTTAAATCCGTTGTGGAACAAAAGGGCGGACATACAAAATATTAAAATTAAAAAAAAAAAATCGTATATAATTTTCTATTAATTAATCTAAGACCTGGGTCAAATAAGCTGTGGCGTGAAAAAAGGCAGTATTTTTTGTTTTTGTTTATTAATAAAAAAGTTGTTAAAAATGAATAAACTAAACGTTATTTTTTAAGTTAAAATGTCAGCTTACCATTCTGCGTTTCATTTTTGTCGGTTGCTCTTATGGTTTAAAAGTTATAGCTGTTTTTAGTTGGAAATTTGGTGTGGGTCAAATAAGCTGTGAGGCACTGTATGTAATTACATATTAACGTTAAGTACATACACAGTGTGTATTACACACATACCCTAAAAACATTAAAGTAAAGCGATTGTTTTCATAACTTATTGGAATAACTAGTCTTTATGTGGGAGAAATTTGCTCTCTGAAATTCGATGAAGCTTTTTTTTATTTCTGCACTCACACCAGTCGACTCACCAAAAGTCGTTAGACTCTTTTTGGTTTTTTATTTTGCGCTTTTTTATGATCGCTTTACAAGGGCTTTTCTTCAAACGCGCTCGGTCACATTAAAAACTGAAACGGATTCGAGAAGACGCGCCTAAGTTTGTGGCTTGGTAAATTAACAAAAAATTAAGTTTTGTTTCGTTTAGATTATGGGTAAAACGATCTCGGTTAATATACCACCACTATTTGGTTACATGAATGAATTATTACATATTAACGTTAAGTACACACACACATACCCTAAAAACATTAAAATAAAGCGATTGTTTTCATACCTTATTGAAATAACTAGTCTTTCTGTGGGCGAAATTGGCTCTCTGAAATTCGATGAAGCTTTTTCTATTTCTGCACTCACACCATCGAGAATGTAATCAAACGTTTTAGTTTCCATTCTCATGTATTCGTAAAATTTTATCGGAAATTCACGCAATTGATGATACAAATGATGGAATTCACCCAACAATTCATCCATGTAAATTGGATGAACCCATATTTTACGATATGTTCTCTTTTTGTTAATAATGCACTTTGATTTATCTGATAAAAATATTTGACGCAGACGCTTTAGCGGCATATTTCTTGTTGAACAATGATCAGGACGTCAGCTTCAGCTCTCTGTGTGCGCGGCTGCAAAAATGTAAACTAGCTGATCAGCTTTTCGCGGATAAGCTCGCTCATCAGATCAACCGTCAGCTCCGCTTTCCGCCGCTAGTGTGCGCCCGGCCTTAAGGGGGGATATACATGTAAACCAAAATTTTTTTGGCAAAATTTTTTTTTTGTTTAAAAAATAGTTTATTATTTAAAGAGTATAGTGTGTAAGTTTCATTATCGAATTCCAACTCTAAGTGCCTCAAATCAAGTATGCACGCAAGGTTCACAAGTGTTAACGCGGGCGCATCAAAAACTTTAAACGTCTTTTTCTCAGCTTTAAATTTGTGCATTTTTACCTATGCTATGGACACGATTCACAAAAAACTACGTAACATATCAGAGTGAATCAAATTTTATTATGATCAGCATGAAATAATCTTCTATTTGAACCTACATGGTTGTTATAAAACTGAGTATTACTATTTTTTAAGAGGGTGGGAAGTGAAAACTGATCACCTGAAAATGGCATTTTTTCCTTCAAATCAAAATTGAATTTTTTTGTCTTGATTTCTTTTTGGTTTTTTAGGTTCAAATAGAAGATACAGGTGTAATGAATATAAACAAATTTAGTTTACGGATTTTGGACAGGAATTACGAGCTCTATCGTGTCCATAGCACGGCAACTCAAAGCTCGAGGCGCTACGGCATATGTTCCATAAATCCGCCATTTTGTAAAATATTGTTTATAACTATATTTTTTTATCATCTCTGATTCTACTTTTACCTATATCCAAAGTTTCACGACGATTGCTTAACTATTTCTTATAAAAAAAAATTCACGAAAAAGGTCCAAATTTGGACCGCTTACATGTATATCCCCCCTTAATGGAAACGACATCCATTGTAAAAAAATTTGAGCGACTTAAGTTAAGTGTGTCATGTTTTTACGGTTGATGCGCTCCATTTTGGCCAGGAACAATGCCTGACCATCATGGCTGCAACCGTTGACGGGTCCATGAACAGGGTCGTTTATCTCCAATTACAGCATTCTGTAATATTTATTAAATATTGTAATTTTTCTTCCTATAAAGTTCCATAGGACAGGTCCATTTTGCACGGCCAATGATACTTTCATGGCCGTGGCAACATGCATCTCCGAGGCGAATGCAATGGGGAGGAGGCGCCAACTTATCGGTATAATGTGTGACGATAATAAAGTCAACGATAAGTTGGTTGAGCTTCCCAAGCCAGTCCTGTGGGACTTTGCACACCTTGAAGGTACGGCGAGTGTACCGCGGCATGACTTTTAACAAGGACAGCTACGTTTCAAATTTAAAAAAATTTCATGAACATTTGACCAACCAGATGGAAAATGGCAATTTCACAATCTCTGCATATCACATATGCAAAAAAGAGCTCAATTCCCTGCAGGAAGTATGTCAGCTTTGCTTCGACATCGACCCGATCAGACGTTTGAATTTGCCAATAACGATATGCTTGAGACCATGGGTCTCAAGTTGAACTCGTTGACTAACGCTACCCATTTTGTGGGAAAGTACGGGACAGACGCGATGCGTAATACGCAGAGTCGGACATTTTTGCTTCACTAATTATTTTCGAAAGCTAACAAAAAACACTTTTGTTTATATAGAAATGGCGCGAGTGGTCTAGACTAGACATCTGCATGAGTGGCAAAAAAATCGCATTCAAATGCACAAAGCTCAAAATGAGTTGAGTGAATTTGAAGCAAATGCCAAACGTCTTTGAATAAAACAACGTAAGAACATTGTTAACTGACCATTGTCAATGGTTTTCCTTTATTATATATGCGTTTCTTACATGTTTTTTATTTAAATTGCAGATGGTAAAAAACGTTTACGTTATTGATGGGTCTGGCGGAGGACGTCGCGTCGTCGGTGGACGTGGCGACGTCAGTGGACGCGGTGTCGGCGGCCTGTACCAGCAAAGGTTCTCTTTGGCGTTCCAGGCGGCCAAAAACGTGCCAGTGTCCGCTGGTGAGCGCCGAAATCTGCAGAGGGCCTTTTTGGCGATATTGCAGCCGCAGGAGCAGCAGCATCAGCCGCATGAACAGCAGCCGCAAGAGCAGCAGCAGACAAAAAAAGAAAGGAGATTGATGCGGCAGTGTCGGCCTTGCTATCCGGCAATCAGCAGCCAAAACAGAAGGAGCAGCTGCACAAAAATGTATAAATAAAAACAAATAAAAACTTGTGGGAATATTACAAACCTTAATGACTACCTTCGTGGACTGCATCCGGATATCAAATTATCAGATATACCGAAATCCATTGGCAGCGTTTTGTCTTATATGGAAAGAACATACGACAAAAATAGTGGTGGCAAGGTTGCCATTGATAAAGCGATTTCTGAGTTTGTTGCCTGTAGTATTTAACCTTTCAGTCTCCACCCACAGGTGGATATGCGAAAGTGGAATTACGTGTGGCCATGGGTCTCAAGTTGAACTCGTTGACTAACGCCACCCATTTTGTGGGAAAGTACGGGACAGACGCGGTGCGTATGGGCTCTAGTGGAGATGGTGGAGATGTATCTCGAGAAGTAACCTCCTACAAATAAAACTTTAATCATTAATTTTCGCTTTCTTTATATCTAAAAAAAAAAATAAAATTTAAAAAAATCCCAACTTCCACAGAAATTGGCGGCGACTGTTTCGCAGAAAACCACCCAGACTGGTCGACCCGTCAAACAGCAGGTGAAGATTTATGGTCTGCCCTCTTTATAAGCGAGGCTTAGTGTGCCCGCCACTTTTGTACGAGATTACACCTTCTTGGTGTGACCGTTGATAGTATTACCAACTATCGGTGGTCATTTATAGCTTGGCAGGCCAAATAATAGGTACAATTTAAGAAAAATTGTTAAATAATTATCCCTTCCTTCCCAATTGGTTTACATATATCTGCGACATTAACGGTTTGTTTTATAAGAAAAATATGCTTTATGGCATGAAAATATCGCCTGCGGCTATCGATCACAGCCAGAATGCAACAAAAAGAAGAGGAGATAGCTGCCAAACTCCATATAAAATCAGAAAGGAAGCTAACTTCAGCACGTCGATGTTGCAATTCGATCGAGCCATTTTGGTTAAATAATTAAAAAAAAATATAAGAAAATATATAAAAGTTGTATATTTATACATAAATAAAATGCTGAAAACATACACAAAAAAAAGTTTCATAACATTTTACCTATACTTATTATGTTTACAGTTTGACAATTACAGTTACACATTTCTATCTTTACATATTCTCTACATCTACCGATTGTTTCTATGGCAGCTATAAGATAAAGTTGTCCGATTTTCACAAAATGTATACCAAAATTCTGAAATATTAAAAGCTTATATCTCAGAGTAGATGAAAATACGTTGAAAAACAACGAATTTATAATTTATTTTCTATTAATTTCCCAATCGTTTCTATGACAGCTATAATATATTGTCGTCTGATTTTTATAAAATGAAAAACGAAATTCAAAAATGGTGCAAAAATGTTGAAAAGCAGCCAAGTTATAATATGATATAGTCGTCCGTTCCGACATATATAGCAGTGAGAGTATACAGAAGATTATATGCAAAGTTTCATTCAGGTAGATTTAAAACTGAGGGACTAGTTTGCGTAGAAACGAACAGGTGAACAGATGGACAGACGGACATGGCTAGATCAAGAATATATATGTATACTTTATAGGGTCGGAAAGGTCTCCTTCACTGCGTTGCAAACTTCTGACTGAAATTATAATAATATACCACATGGTGGCGGCAGTGTCATGTTTTGGGGATGTGGTCCCCATCAATGGGCCAATGAATCAAGGACACTCTTTGCGTATCCTGGTATCATTACATTGTAGATGCCAAAGGAGGGTTTATTTTTTATTAATTTCTATTTCATTATTAACATTTTTGGTAATTCACATGAATTTTCTAACAAATTATGTTATGTCAAAAAAAAAGTTGGCCTCCCACTTTAATGAATTTTTATTTTTAGTTTATAAGTTGTAATATTGTATGTAATATTTTTGTCGTTTTTTATTGTCTAATTACACTATTGTTGTACATAAATTTCATTAATATTTTTTGGATAAATGAATTAGAGTTTATAACACAAAATGTGATTTTTTATTTATGTCAAAATACTTATGTCCACGATTGTAGTATTCAGCTTTTAGCCTGCAATACGCTAAACCGGCAACACTAATTCCACCCAAATCCCAGCTGGCCACACTGTGAATGTGTTTGTTTTCGCTGTTTGGTTCTCTCGAATTTTTACTCGGAAACGGTTGTGGAGCGGGAGTGCGTCGGACCAACTGCATACAAAAGAGATATATTTACCCTGCGAACTGAAATGATTTAAATCACACACACGCGGAGGTTTTGTTGGTGTCTTATTTATTTTACCCATACACCTTTTGGTGAACGTGGAGTGCAACTGCAGTTATATAAAGTCGCGGAACTATAACTTATAACTGCATATTTACAGTAAGTTCGTTTATCAGTTCCCCTTTGCTTATGTGTACCTCTCGCCTCCTTCAGTTTTGCGTCGTTGTTTCGTCCGCGCCGTTGTTCTCTCGTGCTCTTCTTCTGGCTCTCTTTCGCTTCCCTCCCCTTTGAACTCTCCACCACCCCCGTCTGTCTGCATTTCCCCAACTACGTCACACACCGAATTCACTTTTGTTTGCTATTTATAGCCGCAGATTAACTGCACTCCGCAGCCACGAAAATGGGGGAATCGAAATAGGGAAAAGTTAGTGGTTCGGTCCCCATATCTCCAAACGCTGCTGTTATCAGCTCCAAACAACAGGCCGTCGTAAATACATACATAGTGAAAATCAACATGCTTTTTGCGGACCCAAACAGCTGATTTCCTAGCAAAAGTAGGAGAAAGGTCTAATCGGAGGGTTCACCGAACTATCTTTGCTTTCCGACACCTACAGTTTTCTAGCTGCGCTGGCTCAGTTGTCTAAGGTGCCTGGAATTCCCGAAGAAAACGTATACGACACGCACGAGTAGTGAGTTCGAGTCCCACTTCCATCCGCCCTTGCTTGTTGGCTTTTTTCGACGATTATCCACGTTATTTAGCCTTAACTCTTCTTGGGCAACATTAACTTTTTGTTTAATTTTTATTATTTTTTTTTTTTCTTTAATATTTTCATAATGTTCTTCTGCCTCTTAATTTTCCAAACAAGTTCCAGAAGTAAGTTTCTTAAAATCATTCTGAAACTTGATATAAAAAGTTTTACCTTGGATTCAATAGATATATACGGTTCAGTGCAATAACCTATTCAAAATAAAGCAAGATCTTTAAATGGAATTTAAACTAGTTTCAACAAATATGTTTAGGTTTATTCAATGCTAAGAGACGCTTGAACTCATGCCATTGACAGTTTTTGAACTCTTAACCTTTGATAAATGTGGTTTTCTTGAAATACTTCAAGCAATTGAGGTTGCAGTTATCGCTTAAATTTTAAAGATATTCATGCGTCTTTAAAGGTTTATAAAGTAAGGAAAAGGCAATGCAGCAGTACAATAACCTCTTGCCAATAGTAAACTGGTTTCTCTTGAGTTTTTCCCAATGGCATCGAAACTAGTTAAACATTTCTAAAACTATTTTAAAAGTGTAATTTATTTTAAAAGTGTAAGTGTTTTGTATTGTAAAATTGTACCTTCTCAGTGGATTTTGTCGCTTTGCCATATCTTTATTTATGTCTTGTGGGTTATAATATGGTATTTGGTTTTACTCCTTGCGGTTAAGGCGCAATTTTTTTGTTCAAGTTGCAGATTTACGACTTGGGGGAAATTTGAGATATATTTAGAAGTGCTCCACTCTTTTCAGTTTTCCCTCTCTTCATTACTGTTCTGCGCTCTTTTGGCTTCAAACGGTGACGTAATTTGAAGCGCTGCAATCGCCGTCTTGTTTTGGTCTTATAAGAAATACATGCTGCGACGAAAACCGGTTTTGAGATAGTTTACTTTTGTTTTCGGAACTGCGCCGCACCAAAACAAACTCAAACTCAACATCTGGTATGGAAAGCCCCACCCCCCGGCCTTTCCCCACCTTGTCTCGCTCCTCCGAATCATTATTTTAAGATGGCTCTGAATGTATTTGAGATAATCATCGGGTGACTATTGGGCCGGGCTGTCTAAATGTCTGGTCGTCCATATCAATGCGATCCATACGCCGCGAGGTGACGAAAGCCCAGCAACTTTGCTAACGCGCGTTCGTTCGTTTCGTTTGTTTATTTATGGGCAGCAGCAACGGCGGTGGCTTCCATAGCGGCCTTGACATGGTTACAACACACGTCCGTCCAGCTCCAGCAATTGGTCGCCGCCGACAAGGCATAAACATGCTCATGGAATCGCCGCTCGTTTGATCTCGTTCTAATTATAGAGTCCCTCCCCCCAGCCACATTACCCGAAAATGTTTGTCGCTATAATGGAGTTCAGGTCATTATAGATCTCTCTATTGATGTCTAGTCGGCATTGGCCGAAAGCTGCATTCCTTTAGTATTCTAAACAGTATTCTCATTAGGAACAGCTCCGCTTGGTTTGGCTAGGTGTGATAGTTGGCACATTAGCTCAACCTAACAAGTAGAAGGGCGTTTTCAAGATTTCCCTCTTGAATGCCGACTGCGTTTCTACGGATTTTGAACTTATTTTCTGAAATATTCATTTCTAATATTATTATAAAAGTCAGCTATTAATTTTATACAAACATTGTATAAATGCTAAAAGAAGTATTCACTAAAACGTATCTAGTTAGTTATGGTCTAATCGCTATCTTAATGCTTTGATTTAATGATATTTATTATTATAGTTTAATCTTCAGCTGATGGCTTGACATTCAATGATATGCATACATGTGTATATAACTATCTTATCAATTCAGTTATAGTAAAAACACTATTCATATATGTACATTTACACATATGTATTGTTCCCATAATAATGTTTAATTAACAACCCGCCACTTGTGGCTGTTGAAAATAATTTTGGGTTGGGTTTCTCATGAGTTCTATTGCTATAATGCGGCGGTGAAAACAAACAAAATTTGGTAAACTCTTTTACTGGGTTTAATATATATCTAATAAGTTGCCAAATCGATATTTGCAGCTTTAATAATTTCAATTCCCTCTTTAAATATTTTCCTTACTAAGATGCGTCACTTTAAATACTTAGATTCCTCAAACAGTTTATCTAGCAACGTGAAAACCTTATCTAAATTGAAGATTCACTAGTTATATCTAAATAAGACACTAATCGCAAGAGGGTAGGGCATATAATTGTTTAGATAAACCATAAAATATTTATCAGCTGTCATCTAGACACCCTTTGCAAGATTCCCGACACTTGTCTTTGCCCACTTCGCGTGGGATTTGATTACTAGTATCGTTAAGTTACGGATTGGGCGGTGCTGCTATGACATCATCATCATTGGTGAATGGATGCGCTTTCCATCGGGTTTTTAGGGTCTAAAGTGTCACCCACACGGCTGTTCGCCCACCCGGCAAAGGTTTCCCCACCATTACAACGTTACAGCGTTACAGTTTTGCGGAACGAAAGTGGGTCAACCGGTTCCAATTGAGGGGCGCTATCAACACGCAACCTAGCAGATCGATAAAAAGGCCTTTGCCTTTATTGACAAACCAAATCTCTTACATTAAGTCATATGTATGTATACAGTAATACAACAGATTCTCGCTTCATTTAGGCTGTTAACTCCTGCACCGAGCCATGGGACAGATCGTGGGCTCCATGCAGATGAATGTGGCCGAGGTGTTTGGCAACCGGCGGAAGCGGAAGCGCAGCACGGACTCCTCGCTGGGCAAGGACGAGCAGGCCCAGCTGGACGCGACGCAGCCCAAGAAGTGAGTAATTAGCGTGCGGTGCCATCGTATTTACTCATATCTTCCATTCTCCTTAGAAAAAAGCTTCTGACCACCACCCAGTACATATACAAGGCTCTGTTTAAGGAGCAGAAGAACTCGGATGTGTCCGTGATGGCCCTGGACAAGGTGTGGCACCTGCACAAGGTATACCTGAGCCAGAGCCCTTATTTCTACACCATGTTCAATGGAACGTGGCGGGAGGCGCAGCAAAAATTTGTGCAGATCACGATCCTCGACGATCGGATCACCGTAGCCAGCCTGGATGCTGTATTCGGATCGATGTATTCTGACGAGATCGAGATCGAGCCGACGGATGTGATCCCAGTTCTGGCCACGGCCACCCTGTTCCACTTGGATGGGATCATCGACAAGTGCGCCGAGGTGATGGTGGACACCATCAGTCCGGAGACAGCCATCCAGTACTACGAGGCGGCCTGCCAGTACGGTGTGGTAGGCGTGAAGAAGTCCACGTTCCAGTGGTTCCAGATCAACCTGCTGAGCATTTACAGCAAGCATCCAAATCTTCTAAGACACATCTCCATCGGACTGATGAGCGCCCTGACCGCCAGCCACGACCTGTACGTGATGCAGACAGAGTTCTCACTCTATACTCTGCTGCGCACGTGGATGTTCTTGCGCCTGCATCCCGACTACGACCCCGAGGATCCTGTACAGCGGGCGGAGGCTCTGAAGACGCAAGAGCGCCTGATCAACGCCGGCGTGGATACGCACACGCCCAGTGGTGACATCGTCCAGTGGACGTACTTCACCAACCGCATGGAGGAGCGCTCGTTTCTTGCCACGCCCGAGGGACAGCCCTACGTGAGAGTCTTCCAGAAGCTGCGCACCCAGTACCTGACCAACCACTATATGGATCTGAAGATCATCTACAACGACAACATCATACCCAAGGAGTGGCTCTATCGGCACATCCACAACCACTGGGATGCCCTGCTGCGCATAGACCATGGTCAGGAGGACTGGTAAGGGACTTAAATTATCCGCCTTTGTGAATCTAATCGTTCCCCTCTCCGTCCACAGCAGTCCTCAGCAGCTGGACGACGAGCAGTTCTTTGAGAACTGCATGCGCTGCGGCCGACTGCTGCTTGAGCCAGGTTACCAGAAGTGGCGCTGGACAGGCTTCAATTTCGGCATGGATCTCATCCTCATTATGGACTCGCGCAGACTGAATATTCGTCGGCACCACCGGCACGAGCACGAGCGGGTGCTTAGCTTGCAGACAAAGCGAAAGTTCATGATCCGCACGACGGTGACATCGATCAATGCCCAACGGCAGCCGGTGTTCACCCAGACCTCGGAGATATGCTCGCTCAGTTTAGAGAAGAACGAGGAAGTGCCGTTGATGGTACTTGACCCAAAACTTGTTCATCCGCTGCTAATCTCCATCAACATGTTGGTCGTAATGCCCCCGAACCAGAGTTTCAAGGAGATTGTGCCGCACTGCGAGGAGGCGATGCCGACGTCTCTATCCATACCCATTTCGGAAATCGGAGCGGACTGCGAGCGACCGATGACCCCGTCCAGTGCCGACGATTCGGCGGTTTTCATAGGCGACTCTGAGGCTACCACGCCGTCGTCGCCGGCTCCGCGACCCAGGATATCCTGGGGTGCAGCCAGCAGCGAGACGGACGCCATAGGCGATCTGGCGTGCTGAGCGCGTTCAACCACTACCAGTGCCCACCACTACCACCGTTTTCTGTTCATTTGCCCGCTGCCTGTTCGGGCTTCGTAGTTGTAATTGTAAATTCGTTGCTAACCGATCTGACTTACGCAATATCGGCGATCGTTTTGGCAAACGCATCAGATCTATATCTATTAAATATTTTTGTATAGCGTTTACATCACAAAAGTATCTTGTATCCAACTGCTTACACTTACACTGTCTTCATTACCTACTCGTGCCCTCGCACAATCGTAGATGTTGCATATATATAACTATATATAGTATGTAAACTGGCCGTCTTTTAAGATTGTTATGTTTAAGTAACAAGAGATCGCGGCAAAGTAACTAAGGTACATTTAAGCGTGTTCGAATTACGTACGTACGGTTAACACATTTAACTACTGTCCCAACACATTTTTACTCGCTTCATATACGCACAGTGTAACCATTACCCTTCGAGTGATCGATCATTTATTAAAGTTTAAACTACCTATTCAACCAGCTTCCGTCTCGTTTTTCTCGGACGTCCGGTCATTGAGCACGCAATGCTGCTGCCAGGACTTCAGGCTCCTCATCAGCTTCCACAGGGCCGCCGCTTGGCACTCTCCCCCGGACAGGTACTCTTGCAGGTTTCCCAGCACCCAGTTCACTTTTTTGCTCCGCGGCCGATACGTGTAACTGAAGCTGTTCGCAGCAGAGATGAAGGGTTCCCGCTGATCCGGGCTCATACGCGTCCACCGGCGACCGGCCAGTAGGGCTACTTTACACGATGGAAGATGGCCCAGCCTTTTCCTGTTGCGTTTCCGATAGAAGGCGAGGTATTGGAAGAAGGGATTGCGCCCTGCGCTGCTATAGCCTTTAGCTTTAGCTTCAACAAACGTCCTGCTCCTGTGGCCGCAAGAACTTGACTTTCTGCTATAGCCTTTAGCTTGAAATGATGCCCTGCTCCTGTGACCGCAAGATGTTGACTTTCTCGAACTCTTTTTGCCACAAGATCCCATTTTTCACCTGAATTTCGACGTACTACACTTCAAAATATTGTTAGTATCATATATTTGTATAACAATTAATTCAAAGTACATATGCAGGCTGGTTTTTAACAATTGAATTGTTTGCATTTAACAACGGAAAATTTAATTGGATTTAACTAGGGATCCCAACAACAAACTTGTCTTCGGGGCTATCGATATACATGGATTGAGTAGAAAATATTCCGGTTCCGGATTGCATTTCAGTAGTAGAAGAGTTCGGGGAAGTTCGTCTCGTAGATGGGCTTCTCGTTGCTGGCCTGCAGCTGGGCTGCCTTGGTGTCGCTCTGAGTGATCTGACGCTCCACGGCCAGCGAGTTGAAGAGCTCGTTCAGGCGGTTCTGGATGAGATCGTGCTGAAGATGAAAGATTAATATTTTATTGAAATTGTGTGTTTAAAACGAAATCGAAAGAACCGCTTAGGTCGGGTTATTCCCTTACGCACAAACATTTTCTTTGCAAGGGTGGGCCTCTCTCTCTGTTCTCTCTATACGCCTTGCTTGCAATGTACCCGTAATAACCAACGGGTGAGTTTATTGTTTGCTGCGCTCTAAGAGAACTTTACAATGTAATGTATCTTCCCATACGATAAGACGAAATTGAAAGGGAAAAACACTCTACCAAGACCAAGACACAAGCTTTTATTTTTTATTTTATTCTTTAATTTGCCAATTTATATAAAGCGTTAAAATCAGGGCACGTAATCATTATAAGTGAAAAAATAAAAATCAATGTTTAATGATAATCTATTGATTTGAATATATTTGGCTTGCCATTAATAATTATAATTTTATATTTCCTTAAACGCTCAAGAAAGAGCATCCAAATTGTAGTGGATTGATATCAGAGCTTGCAAATAACTGTCGACCGTTTTTTTCCCGTGCTCTCGTTGCGAGCACAACCGAAAAAGTTCATACTCTCTCGCCTTCGCTCTGAGCAAGAGAGTTTTGCTGTCTTCATTTCTGTTTTCTGTTGAGCGCTTTTCGTTGAGCTCTTTTTATTTCGGTCGTTCAATGAGCATATAAGTAGATTTTTTTTTTTGCTTTCCCAAGGGAATGATTTTTTGGTTTAAAGATACATTTATAATCATTTTGTACGGTCCCTGGTTAAAGTATTTGTTTATATATACAGGGTGTTCAATCTTTTATGTCGGTATTTAAATATCGAATAACTTTGTCATTAGTAAACCAATTAACTTGAGTAAAGTGTAGAAAAGCTACCTTCAGCAGAATTTTAATCATGGATCGCTTTACTCCAAAAGAACGCACTGAAATAGTGACGCTTTACATTGAAAATAGTCGTTCAGTTGCGTTGACTCAAAAAACTCAAAAAAGGCTAAACTGATTGGACCCAGATTTCCAGATTCACACCTCCGGACTTTTTTTAAAGGGATATTTGTTTACGTCAGCAAGCCTCAAACCATTGACGAGATCATGGCTAATATTCGTGCAGAAATCATCGCTATACAACCTGAGATGCTAGAAATGTAGTGGAAATGCAGCAAAAAGGGCACATTTTGTGTGTCCAATCAAATCGGCCACTTGATTGATATTGTTTTCAAAAATTAGTCTGTAGAAATTGCAAAGAACCAAATTAAATAAAAATATTTCATACTTGAAAATCGGTTGTTTATTTTCAAAGATATTCAATGTTTACATACCGACATAAAAGATGGCGCACCCTGTATATGTATTTACATACATTTATTTTGGGAGTTTAAGGAAAATACTGTTATTGTGGGCCACTTGGTTTTTTTTGCAACCAAGCAGTTGCTTTCGGACTGATAAGCACGGATAATGTAAAGTAAAGATTTGCTATATGCAAGAGATTAATCAAAAGTCCAAGCCAGTCAGTCCTCTCGAATCAGAATCAGTTTTAATTCGAATCTACAGTGTGACAGTCATGTTCCAACTGAGTAGTGCAATAGCACTTTGCATTTTGCTGCAGGGAACCCTTTCCCATCCCAGTGATAATCAAGACAAAGAGCTTCCTCGAATTGCTGAAGAACCACTGACCATTGGAAACCAATGCAACGGGTATTGTTTTTCAGTTTTAAAGCCGATCCTTGACCATTTCGTTAGCCTGAAGGAGGGAGCTGATGCGAGTAGCGAATTTAGAGACAAGATACACTCTTTGGAGGAGACCGTTAAGCACTTGCAGGGTCAGTTGGAAAATACTAAAACCCAACTGAAAGACAATGAAAACCTTATCAAGGAAAAAGACGAACGTATTAATGACCTGCAAGGTCAACTGAATTCTACCACAGCAAGATTCACCGAGATAAGTGATCAGCTCAGGGCGTGCAAACAAACGGAGGAAAACCTACCCAACACATGTCCGAGTGGCAGTCCCAATGGCATTTACCAGATTAAACTTCGGGGATCCCCAGCATTTAAAGTACCTTGCGTTTCGGCTGCGTCCGGATGGACCGTAGTTCTTAGTCGCTTTGACGGAAGCGAAAACTTTAACCGCACCTGGAGGGATTACAGGAACGGATTCGGCGATTTCAGTGGAGAGTTTTTTATCGGTTTGGAAAAGTTGCACTTAATGACTCGATCGCAACACCACGAACTTTACATACAGCTGCGAGATGTTAATGGAAGCACTGCAATCGCAAATTACGATGATTTTATCGTCGGCAGTGAGCAGGAAGAATACAAACTGAAATCGCTGGGAAAATATTCGGGAACCGCTGGAGATTCCCTGAGGTATCATCTTGATAAAAAGTTTACTACGACTGATCGGGACAATGATTTGGGAGACGGACATTGCGTTAGTAATCATGGTGGAGGTGGTTGGTGGTATGGAGCGTGTGCCCAAGGGTAAATATATAACATTAAAAGTATGCCAATACCTTATAATTTTATAATTATAGTTTTTTGACTGGAAAATATTACAAAGATGGGCGACGACTATCCAAAGACTATGGAATTATTTGGGTCGATTGGCGTAATTTCAACGTTTCCCTTACATTCGCTCAAATGATGATAAGACCTCAAACTATCAGAGTTTAACTAACTAATCTTAATCACACTTTTCCCGAAATAAATCCCAGACCCTGTGCTTGAACATCCCTGAACTTACCTTCGGTTCTGTGCGTCTCATTAGATCGTCGAACTCGCCCTCGCGGAATGTGCGAACGATTTGCATTTGGCGCTCGCGCAACTCCCGCTTGGCGGCCTCCGTCGGCTCGGCGAGAGCCCGCTTCATGGCATCGAAGTTGAATTCGGGCGCCAGGAGTTTTTTGCACACACCGGGCGAGCTGCTCACGCTGTCCACATCGCCGTTGTAGACGGTCAGATCCGCTGAGCTGTTGCGCTGCGTCAACTGGTTGCTTACCGACTCCACCCACGAGTGCCGGTGGCCGGGATGATCCGTCTGGTTGAGCGCGTACGGAGCGCCCGTGTTGAGGCGCTGGGCGTCCATGCCTGCATTCTGGAGGCACTCGCCCAGAGCCAGCTTGTCGATGGCGAGATGCGGCAGCGACAGATTCAAGCTCTTGTTGGCCATCTTCTTGGGTTCCAGCAGCGGCGGTAGGTAGTGGCTGGCTTCCTCGCGCCGCGCGTCTACGATCTTCTGAGCGTAGTCCAGCAGATTGTTGATGCCGCTCACCCGCGAGATGAGCACCAGCAGGCCAATGGCGATAATGTGCAGGTTGCACTTGTGCACGGTGCCCAGGGTCTCCGTGGTGCTGGCCACCTGCTGGATGCTATGGACAGAGTGAAAATCGAGGATCAGCAAGGAGTTACGAACTGCAGGCCTAGCCTCACTCACCCCAAGATGAACAGGAGGAACTCCTGCACGGTTTCATTGCACGACATCTCGACGATGAGCAGGGCGGCGGTGTTGTAGCTGGAGGAGAGGGCGTCCACGCGATCCGATAGCGCCATGCTGTCGATGAGCGCCTGCATGATGTTGGCGCCGTACTTGTGCGTGAAGATGATGTCAGAGCGCGAGGGCGGCTCCTGGGACAGAGCGGGATACGGCTTCACGCTGACGCTGCTGAGCACCTTCTCGTTCTGGTGGCGGTCGAGCAGGGCCTGAAAGATCTGCATCACCACCATGCGCGTGGGGTCGTGGGGAGCGCGCGCCATCTTGAGCAGCGGCTGCAGGAAGGAGGCGGGGAAGGCCTTCTCAAAGGAGACGGTGCTGTATTGGGTGCCCACCTTAAGCAGCGACTTGAGCAGGATGTTCTGCAGCATCTGGTCGCCCTTGCTCTTCTTGGACAGATCTGGGACCGTGTTCATGATGAACAGCATGATCTCGATCTTCTGGTAGTCGGGGTGGTGGTTGGCAAACTCGCCTAGTGCATTGATCAGCGCCTCCTGGTACTGCGACTCCTCGGGCGTGATCTCGCTGGTGGTGCTCACGCTCGTCCGCAGGTGCGTCAGCAGATTGTTAATGATGTCCAAGGCCGAGGGGCCCACACTTTCGCCCGCCGCAATAGCAATAATCTTGGACAGCACGACGGCCAGCGAGGTGCGCGTCTTGGGCGAGGACTTGAAGTTGTTGTCCAGGTGCTGCATCAGCGTCTCCACCACGGTGTACGAGTACTGCGGCTGTATGGAGATCATCACGATGCGGAACGTGTGAATCGCAAAGGTGTTGGGCACCCACAGCTCATGCCGGTCGAGGTGGCTGTAAGTCCGCAAGATTAACGACTGCTGGTGATGCTTCCGGGTGCATTACTTACGTCAGCAGCGGCTTGAGAACGCTGCGAATGTGTCCGAAGGAGGCGCGGCCCACCAGCTCGCGTAGCACCTCCTCGGCCAGGGCCGGCGGCGTTACGTTGGTGGCATCCTCCACGGGAGTCAGATCGCCGGACTGCAGCGACAGAGAAATAGATTAGTAACTGGGCTGCGGACAAGGGCTAAGACAGCGAGCTTAAGCATATGTAATTCGATTCGAGATCATCATTACCGCCAGTAAATTTTTCTTCACGAACATAACGTTTACACAAAACTGTTTTGGTTATTTGTTGTTGTTGTGTGTTGGTTGTGTTGTTGTAATTGGTTTTGGTTGGGTTTGGTTTGCATTAACAAAATACACGGAAAACGAAATGCAAAATACATTGAAATTAGTTGAATGAATTGGCCAATGGGTCTCATCGGGTCAGGTCATCTCCGAGCGGGCACAAGGTACAGACTGGTAGCAACAGAAGACCTACCTGCATGTTGAACAGCAGCGAGGGCACAATCTTCTCCATATGCTGCGCCTCCCAAATATTCTCCACCAAGTCATCGGACACCGTCTTCCGGATGACGCCCTGCAATCCCTTGATGCCCGCCAGACGCAAGCTGTCCCGCAGGCTGGCCGCATCGCTGTGGCACATCGAGGAGAACTTGGAGATGAAGAAGTCATAGCGACGATGGTAGGATGGCGTGTCCTCGTTGATATTGGCAAACTTTACAAACTTTCGAAGGAAAGAGGGCTGTTACAGAAGCAGGCTCAGGAGAAGTCTTAGGCAGTAACCTTACCGAGTTCGTGGCCATTATCTTGAGGTTGGGGTTCGAGTCCTCCAGCAGTTTCTGCACCATGCGTAGGAAGGACTCCACAAACAGATTGAGCGTCGTTTGGGCATGACACGCCTGCAGCAGCAGGTCCATGGCCTCCATTGCAATCTCGGCCAGCCTGGGAAGCATGGAAATTCGATAGAGGGGCCGACTATATGTGTACATTCGTAACACTTACTTGTAGCGCTTTCTGTTGATGTCCTTGGTGGCCTTCTGGTACAGATACTCGCCAATCCGGTCCAGCTTGTCCGGAGAGCTGAGCGAATAAAAGGTCAGCTTTTCCATGTTGGACTTGACCAGCCCGTCCTCGGGATTCACCGGAAAGATGTTGTCCACCAGGCGCTTGTAGCGCGGCCTCAGGGCCGAGCAGCAACCGCAGCAGCCTAGAAGGGCACAGGGAAAGGCACAGCGATTAGAGGGATTCGGCAGGCAGACGTGGATGCAGCGGTAGGTGAACATGGCGCCACCAGCTCACTCCGCTGGCGCGAGCGTGTGTGTGGTGTGTGAAAACCGACTCGACTGGGTGCGACCACCATTTTCCGCTTAATCTTATCGCGATAATTGCTCTAGTGGACTATAGTTTCGCTGTTCCGTTCGCGTTCGCCCCTCGTCCATCCGTCCGGCTTGATTTGAGTGATTGGCTCTGCCGCTCATCGCACCATCGCACAGCCCTTTTCTGTGCAGTCCCGACCCCTCACCCCCACCAACTCCACTCCAGTCACCGTCGCCATCGATTAGTAGGTGTCGTCATTCCTTGCCGATTGGCTGGATATGCCAATGGCTAGGTGTTTGTGTTTTTCGCGGCGAGGTCACTCCGCTCAATGGCCCGTGGCACGCCAAGCGCTCTCCTAATTACTTACCAGGCATGCTGGCGTCGTAACCCGCTTCTTGGGGGCCTTTATCGCGGTATTAGATAATAAAACGCTGCGATAAAACTGCCCAGCTTCGTGGCTTTTTGCTTTGTTGTGGACTTTTTGTCAAAGAGTATCTTAAAGTTAGCTGGGCGAGGGGGGCGGGAGGCACTGTGACGCAGTGTGACCGCGCCTTGAACGGGTTAAAATCCGCACATTATGCCGTATGGTAGCGTTTAACCGTTTCAAGAGCCTTATCGATGACCGATGACTTTTACCGATACGCAGCGCTTAATGTGACCGTTTCTAACCGCCGGCTGAGCATTTTAAGCGGCAACTGGTGAATTATTGGCCCACTGTGCATGTGCTTACAATAGTTTGTTTTACTTAATAAGAGTTGTAAAATATTAGTTCAAGCATTTCACTAAAAGAACTAATTTCGAGAAATATAGCTATATATTTTTAATAGTTCTTTATATAATATACCATTTATACATAAAAGTTTTATTTTAAAATTATTCAAAAATTATATATTTTACTTTTTTTTTTTTGTTTTTTAATTTACCGAACATGATTAACACTTAAACCAGAACCTGCACTGAATGAATTAAAATTTAAAACGGATATAAAACCAAATAATTAAATAGTTTTCGCTACAATAATTTTATAATGTCAAACTTATAACCCAGAAGTACATACATAGGTCATAAAATTAAAGGCCAGCTGAGAGTAATTAGTTTCGTATATGCACATATATGTATGTTTTTCCATTTAATTTATTTACTTTGCATTAATTTAAACTTGAATTTAACTCATTTTAAATTTATTTAATGATATTCTCGACTGTTTAAGGTTCTACAATAGAGATATGATGCCTACAAAGTCTCTTCCGAAGTCTTTTGTATTCATAGAAAGGGAAAAGACAAATAAAACCCCTATAGTCATCACGTGCGTTGTGGTTGTGTCCTTTTAGCAATATCCCTTCCCAAATCTGAAGGTTTCCCTTGAAACTTGAATGTTTCGCCCTCCCATTAATACTTACAACTTGGATCCGTGCACTTTTGCACGAAACTGTCGAAGAACTCCGGCAATTCCGGCGGCTCGAAGCAGCAGCGAATCAGGGCCATTTTGGCATGCGAAAATCTGTGACGACTGGGTTTCTGTGATTGCCTATCCTTGTCTGCTCTTCCAGGACGTTGACCATGAACTTTGGGTATTTTAAGCGCGAAACTTGGCTGTTTTGTTGTTGGTTGTTGCCTTCCGAGAGCTCTATTTGTTGTTGCTCCAGGTCAGCTGATGGGCCCGACGACGACTAACGGGAGGAAAGCTCGGACTCACTTGTCGCGGAGCTTTCTTTACGGCCTTATATCACACTGCGGGGCTTCCCGTTTTTGGCCTGGCCAAATAATGATGCCATTTTCCCACTCTTATTTCAGCTGGACATTCACGTTTGAATACCAATTAGGCGCTTTATACGGATTACGGATTAGCAAATACTTGGCGCAAAGCATCCGTTCTGGCAAACTGACAAATAATTTAAGGGAACAAATTCGTGATAACAAAGAAACAGAAACCGCACGCAGCGAGAACAACAAACTGAATGGGAAAATGTGTTTTTCGCACTAAAGCTCAGCGCATTTGGCAGGTTTCCGCGCAAAGCTCTCCCAGGGGCTTAAAAGCAAAGCTCAGGGGAGATGCCGAGCTTTTCGTATCCCGCTTTTCATTAATAAAACGCGTTTAAATGGGCCATAAAAAAGTGTTTCCAAGGGTTGTCCGAAAAGTTCCCTGGCCTTCGTGTTTACCGTTATGCGACGCACAATTAAACACTTGAAGTGCAAAGTGTACACTTGACCAAAATGGAAAAAGTACACTGAAATAAAAGCAATGAACTTGAAATTATTCACTTTTCTGTATAAATGTAAAATTAAATAATATTCAAATGCCTAGGTAATAAATGGAAAATTAATTTAAATATTTTAGGCGAAAAAGTAGTTGATTCTTGTAGCTTACTTTTATTGATTTCGGTCCCACAGCTATTTTGGTGACATCTCTGTGTAGTATATTGAAATAACAATATAAAATAACGATATAAAATGAAATAACAATATAAAAAAAAGCAAAGAAATTCGAATTTTTTTCAAGTCTTACCTTTCTACTTTTAATATTCTCATTCTTTTCACAATTTATGTTGGTTTTATCATCAACGTTAAGAAACTACATTTAAGTATATTTTATTAAATATTTAAAATATTTATCAACATTTCTAAACATAAGAAACATTTCTAAACTTAAAAAAAACATTAGCTCTTGTCTTTAATGACTTTAGATAACAAATGAAATAATTTTTTGATTGTGTAAAGTCAAAGACGAGCGCTTCACACGCCAGTTCCGTGGGTTGACAACTTTATTAAAACCCCAATGGGGGCCCTCCTTCCATATGTCGGAGTGGTAAGGGGGCGAAGTGGACGTGCTTTATAGTTTCTTGACCGACGATGACGATCGATGATTTATTTGTATGTGCTGCTTATTTCTCCGACTTTTTGATTAATTACTGTGATATTCAAATATTCAAGTGTGTGGATTTAAACGCGCAAATATATGAACATGTGAATACAGAGAAACGTCCACGAAAAGAACCCAACAAATTTGAAGTTTCTTAAACAAAAAGAAATTATGTTTTCCTATAGGTTTATTTGTGGTATCTATCTTAGTTATTTACACTTGTATATATAAGTAAAATTTTGTAAAAATAAATATACTAGAAATCCAAAAATCTCTAGGGCTTTTATATCTCTTCAAAAGGTTTCTAGAAGTATGCATTGCCTTTTTTCAGGTATTCAGTGTAAATTTGTTTTTTGTTTTAGCAATGCCCACAAATTTTGTTTTTAAATTTTAATGATTTTTAAAGCACTCACATTTTCCTAAAGATATACCTATGACATATTCAAATGATTTTCGTAAATACTAAAAGAGTTCCACTCGGAACTGTAGACTTTTCTTGGACATTCCATCAAAAAAAATCCCAGTGACCGACGTTGGACTGTTTTCATTTGCTTAAAACTTATCCCATCGTTGAGTTCTGGGCATATTTTACGCTTTGTTTACTTTTGCGGCCAGGGATTAGCACCCTCTGCTGGCTGGTATCTAGAAGATGAATTAATTAGTGCTCGGCTTTAATGACTAGTGATTGATGAGTGGGAGTGGTCCTGGGGAGCGCGGAGGAGGAGGAGGAGGTGAAGGGGGGAGCTGGCAGAGGGTCACCGAACAGTAGCCAGTGGAAACTGGTTGACAGCAGAGGAACATCATCGGGCCAACAGGGAGCGATATTTTCATATTTGCCAGCGCGCGCGTAGGAAAACATCCCAAGAATGTTTGGGCGATCTGGTTTCACTTGTTTTCGAGTGAGTACTCGAACCTTGATTTGATTCATATTCGCGAAACGAAAGACTGCAGAACACGAACTTGATCGCGAGAGCAATCCAGTCGCCAGTCCAGACTCTTCCGCGCTCTCCAAACACCGGCTACACTTGTCCGCCTCAGGTGCGAAGCTCGCTCAGCTCCCCGAGCTTTGGCAGCGATCTCGGCCAGATCCGGACTTCAGTCGACTCTCAGCAGTGCTCGCGATCACTTGGGTCGGAGAAGCTCGATCAGCTCTCCAGAAACGAAACTGCGTCGCGCTCGCCTTATCCACCAGTGAATAAATATACCCAGAAATACTATATAAAACAAACGAACTGGCCAGCGCCCATCCGCCAATAAGGATACTCTTTTCCCTTAAAAAATAATAACACAAAATAAAAAGCTAAGCGGCAACGACCATCGCTACGACCATTCAACCGTTCGTTCGTTCAGTAAAGCCCACGCAAAGCGACATAAAAATCGCAAACACAAATCGTGATAAATTTTCGCTAAATTGTGCAAACGTTTTTCGATGATTTTGTCGTGTTGACTAATTAAAATTTGACGTGCATACCGAAACAAAACTCCAACTTCGACAGCCCTCGAAAGCGAAAAAAGCCAGTAACTTTTCGCGACGACACTTGGCAAGTGAAATAAATAACATACATATAGGTAATTTGTGTGTGCCGAACGAGATATACAATATTAAAATAACAAATAACTAAATGCAAACACAATAAATAAGTGTAATTAGAACTGCGCAAAATACTGAGAACTGCAAAAAAAGAGCGAGCTCACTGAGAATATACAGAGAGAGAGAGAGAGAGTACACCCCACCAACGCACGAGGAATGCTGTTATGAGGTGAGTCGCTGTCGATCATTACACTACGTTATAGTACAGTAGAACACCCCTAAACAGCCTTCTAACGCCGTAGATGCTTCCGCTCTGATAACCAATACCACAACTCTCTGGACTACTATATCCATACTAAAACCCAACCAAAATATTCTTTCAGCCGGCCTGAATTATTCAGATTGTGGGATAGCGATCTCCAAGTGGGCTTTACGACACCCGAATAGTGTGTGTCCCAGTTACACACTTGCGGGGGCGACGTGTGTGACTGTTCCAGATCCGTATATAGAACGGCGATCAGCCAACACAACACTATTCGATACTATTATGACTCAGCGAGGTATAGCTTGATCTGTACAACCTTTCGGCCGATCGGGCTAATTGGAAGTCATTTGCGAGAAGATCTTCCACTTTCTTCTCGACATTATAATGCCGCTCTTAACAATCTGCGGCGAGGGCCCCTTTGAATGGGAATGCAAATTAATAACCAATGGCCAATTCTAATGTTAATAAAAACTCGCAGCAGTCTTTATTGTTTTGGGGCGGAAATAGAATTTGAAGGCCTCAAACTCGCACTCAACAGAAAGCAAACATTTCTCGATGATGAGTGCCGTCGCAAGTTGAGTGAAAGTTGCAGAGAATCTTTGAATATTGTCTGCCAGCAATCAATATACATATATACGACTTAAGTTCTTTGCGAATTAGCATTGCAAATGCTGAATTTACATTAGCTCTGGCTTTAATTCGATTAGGAATTTCAAATTTATGGCCGATGAGTGGTTTTTTGGCCAAATATACATAAGTAATTGGCCGGAATATCGGCACATTTGAATTCAGGTTCAGGCTGTTTGTTATTAACAGCTTCGGATCGAAAAGCGACCCGAGAGTTACTGCTCATTCCAAAGCTGTCTCCAGCCAGATACTATATATTCCACGCTCTGCAGATTATATATCTAAAATATAAAGATGAATCTTCAAGAGAAGCTGGCCTGGTTCTTTGGCCTGAAGTCGGTGCGTTATGCGCAGATCTTCATCGTGGTGACGGGCGATCTGCTGGCTTTATCCAATCTATATCCCAAGCACTCCATGTACATTAGGCGTCCCTTTCTCCTCTGGGAGGATCTGGACGATAAGGAGGACCTGGATGGGCACAAGAAGCAGCATGAGGAGGACGACAACGTCACAGTCTCCGACTAATACTGATCCAGCGTTTCTAATTTATATTTATATATATTTTTTATGTGCGTGGGAGACGTTTTATGGCCATGCAAGAGAGATTCGATTCCACCGAGCCAACCTTGAGTGAGTTTCAATGCCAATGCCAGTGCCAGAGGCCCATGACGTCACTTGTATCTGGATACTCACCATACAGATACATGTATTTATGTATACGTACAGCCTTGTGTCTCTGTAGGTGCCTTGCTGAACACCTCGTTTCGTTCTCGTTTTGCCCGTTGCAGCCGGAGGATGCCCTCGTGAGCCTGTTCAAATGCCGGGACCAAATTAACTCGGCTCCTCATTAAGGCACACACAAAAATTCGAAAGTTTCGACCGCCGTCGTCTGGAAATAAACGTCAATTTAAAGCGCAAACAGGCACGAGGGGGCTGAGAGGGGTTTGTTGCAAAAAAATAAACTTAAAAAATGTCGAAAAAAAATATTGAAAATTCTCTCAAAAAGCCGCTTTTGTTGATGTGGCCAAAAAAGGTCTACAGCCTTGCCTTGTATGCAGTCCTACGTTGTGTTTCAGTTTCGTTTTTTGGGAGCTGCGTTTGCCTCCGTATTATCTCGTTTTCAGTTTCAGCTCTCCTTCGATATATTTTTTTTTGTAGATTTTTTAAGTCGGTTTTCGGGCTGCCGTTTTTGGTGTGCATGCGTCAAGGATGATTTGTATTTGTGCATAAGGCGATGTCAGCGTTTTCGATTTTTCTGTATTTTCTCAATTTTTCTGTATTTAATTTGTTTTCGATTTAGCTTCCTGCTTCGAGTCAGTGTCCGTCCGGCTTTTGACACGTACACCTACGAGGCGTTCCGGGGTTCAGTAATTAGTCACCGAGATCAAAGCCCAAGACCGCCCTGAGAGAGCTTGTTCTGGGAACTAATGCAACTGTTTGCTCGCCACAAACAAGCCTAACTCGGTTCTTAGATAACTCTTGTGGGGGGGCTTACCCTCTTGCCACATTCGATTTTGTCATGGCAATACTTGGTTTTATGGCATTGTTTAAACAAGAAGATTGTTGAGACTACTTTGGCTGTAAGTAAGAACTGTTCAGGAGGATATTTTTGATATCTATACAATTTTAAAGTGATTTCAAAACACGCAATTTTTTTTTAAATAATTTACATTAAGAGATAAGGGAGTATTTCTTTTAGGAAAGCTTATTTATATCTGTCTAATATCGTCATACATTTAATACAGTTTTTGATCAATTTGATTATTGAACTGTTTTTTAGAAATAGTATATGCTGAAAATCTCTATACATCGGTTAAAATCAGTTTATCAGTTTTAAAACTTACAATATTCCACGTGAAATTACAGATGAGCCTTTTCAATGTTACAAACATTTCATTGTGTTTATATTGAGTTTGCCAATTACCTATATTTAAATTTCTTATTATTAAATAAACCCACCAATAAACCCATTACAACCCAATTTTTAAAATTAAATATTTAGGAATCTTTAATTTTATAAAAAAAATATGTAGTATATAAAAACCATATGATTTTACACCATATTTTTTACACTCATGTGTAAATTGTATAAAAATCACACTAATTTTTGGCTTCCCGGTCCCGTTGATTGCTATAACCCACTCCCTAGTGACCTTACGCGATCGAATGGTGGCGACGCTCTTCGCGGCTCGCGTCGCACATTCACTTTGGCATCGTGCAGCTTTAATTGCCCATGGGGGTTCAACAGCCAAAGCGAGACAAAAGCCGGGCAAAACTCACTCAAATGGCTAAAAAAGCTAAACAAAACTAAACTGAAAAAAAAATAATGGAGAAAAATCAATGCCTGTCAATGTCTGTGGCGCAATCGGCCTGAAAGCGGCAGCGGCAGCGGCATCGATCGCTGATTGTTTAACTGTTGACTTAAGCGGCAGTGTTAACAAATTATTTGATTTTGGTCGCATTTGATTTAAGAGCAAAAACATCTGCGCCTGAGCCCGGCCTGGCATTGAGCCATTATTTCAGCGGAAATCGAATCAGATTGAACGGTAACTGGCATACGACACTTCGACACAGAGGCCTCTGCGGAAGTACTTGGCTCTCAATTGGGGCTTATGTTTTTGGCCAATTGACACGCTCGTTTGGCTTAATTTTGGTCTTTGTCGATCTGGCTCTCGGAGTTCACAGGCTGACCTTTTCGAGGTATATCGAGTGTCAGGCGAGCAGGTGCAACTCGATGCCCTGGGAAGCAGGTAAACGGGCTGGGAAGCTGGATGGGTTCCAGATCGAGCGGGTTCTGTTTTTTTGTGTTTTGTTTCGAAAGCGCTTTCAATGAAGACATTAAATTGATGTATTGGCCGATAGTTTCGCTCTGTTTAAGGGGCGCTTTCATCTCCGACGAGCCAATTTACGAATTTCCAAGAATCTGATCCGGGGCTTGGGCCGGGGCTCGTTCGTAGTCCGTCATGATATCACTGGGACTAGAAGCGACACTGCTACAGGCCCATAAATTAGATGTAAAACAGGGCCGACGAAAACTGAATCAATGATTATAGCCGAAAATGTTAATGAGACGCAATTTTGGTCTATGGTCGGTCATCATCACGTACCGCGGTCCCATCTGGAGTGGACTCGAGTGTACTTACCCAAATGGAGTAGTGTCTTATTCAAAGCGAAGATTTGTAACGCTTTCATAACGCAATAAGTCGCGAGCCACCCTCCGAATTCAACCGAATTACCCAATGGACGACATTATGCTCAGATGTATGAGAAAAGGCCATGTCGAAAGCGCATTTTGTATGCCAGTCGACAAGTTTTGGGCGGCTTTGATTCGCGGTCAACAACGTCAGCGGCAAAGGGAATGGAACCGAATCGAACTGCATATCAATGAACTCTGATTGAGGAAAATCATTGTCGATTTTTGAGTTTTATTATTAAATTCACAATAAAACTATAGTTTTATAGCTTTTATAGTTGAAATGCTGCATTACACACTCAGACAGGATAACAGTTTGTCCTTACTTTGGATGAAGATATAAGGAAGAGAACAAAGACACTATATAAAATCAAAATTATCATAAAGTTTGTTATATCAAAAATTATATCGATATTATTACGCCCAAACCAAACAAAGTTTTGGCAACCTCTTTATAATTATTTCCAATAATTTTTTTTAATATTTCCAACATTCCTAAAATAATGAATTCTCTATAAAATATGCCCCCGATAGTGATTTAAAAGCTCTACTACTTCGTGCAAAATCGCTTTAATTGGTTTTCCCTGCAGCTGGGGAATAACCACTTAATATGCAGTTAAATTTAATTGAGCTGAGACTTGAGTTTAGCCTTCTGCCAATCATATTGAAATCCCATCGAAATCGAATCTAACGCTGATCAATTAAACGATCGGCGAACTGAAATTAGCATAAATTACGAAGCCCCAGCTATTGCTACCGCTTGCCTGGCGGACGGATGGACAATGGCATTAATTACCGGGCCAGCAACGAAGGAAGGAAAAGTGAAACCATCCGGGGGTCTTATGCAAGGCGGAAGATCGAGGATGGCGGCGCAGGCACCGTTGTTGGTTATGACATGCACTACAGACCCAAAGAAGGCAGTCATCGAGAAAAGCTGGGAGCTGCGACTTTGGAGATGGAAGCTTTGAGCCAGCATCGCGTGCAAGCTCGCCCTTTTCCCACTCAGCGAGACACTCGATTTCCTTGGCTGCAGGCTGGCTCCGAGACTGAGTCTTTGGGATGAAGCTGGAGCTGGAGCTGGAGCTGGGAGATGAGCTGCCAATTCGGGTGACCTTTGCCACCGCGCTTGATTCGCGTTGCCGGAAACTTGGCTTGACGCTGCCTCCTTTATTGATTTCCCAGGGAAAGCCTCGGGTTTTCGTGGATTCTTTGCCCAATAATTGCGCACAATTTTTCGTTTTATTTTTCGGTTTTTACCAAATTCAGCGATAACAAGCGAGGAATGCAGCGGAAAGATGCTAACGTGATGATGAGCGAGGAGTGGCGCCAGGAGTAGCCCAATGGAAAAGGAACAGTCGTGAGAATAGGCAAAAAACTTTAAATAAAAAACAAAATCAAAGGGTAGTCGCATAGGAAAAATATGTTTTTCTCTATTTTAAAAAATTATTCATTAATTACACAGGAACACAAAATTAAACTTTGTGAAATTTCCACGAAGCATTTCAAGTTTTCCATGATATTTGGGTGCTCCTGAGTAAAAGTCCCATACAAAATTATTTTCCATCACCTACAGGTTTCGCGGTATACCTAAGAATACAAAAAACCTATGTTTGCCGACATTTTGAATAACGTGGCCTATATAATTGGACTTACCTTTATTATTTTTGGTAGGACCTACTCTCAATACATCACGGCACTACTAAAAAATGGTCCCAATCGTGGACCATTGTCCATGTCTTTGGAATTCGACGCCAAAGTTGAAACTCCCAAAATTTTCAACATTTCTGTTATGAAAAAACAATTCTGAGAATTAAATCTTCCATGGGACTAATTTTAAATTTTCATTGAATCTATTGCTCATTGTATTCTTTAATTTCGGTTTAAAGCGTTTTCATGAGGACATTTTATTGGATTTATTAAACGAATAAAACCGATTTTTTGGTTTTATTATCTACTACTATTTGCTGTCAAATTTCAAATAAGTCAAGGCAACCTATAAAATAGTAGTAGATTTGTTTCTTTTTATATATAAAATACATTTAGTTGTATATTAAATAAAAAGGTCTTCCGAACATAACATTTTTAAGACAGCTTAGTACCCAGCGATAATCCTTACATATTTAAGTTTAGTCAAAAAGAAAAAATGTATATTATATATAAAAAGAAACTAATCTACTACTATTTTATAGGTTGCCTTGACTTATTTGAAATTTGACAGCAAATAGTAGTAGATAATAAAACCAAAAAATCGGTTTTATTCGTTTAATAAATCCAATAAAATGTCCTCATGAAAACGCTTTAAACCGAAATTAAAGAATACAATGAGCAATAGATTCAATGAAAATTTAAAAATTAGTCCCATGGAAGATTTAATTCTCAGAATTGTTTTTTCATAACAGAAATGTTGAAAATTTTGGGAGTTTCAACTTTGGCGTCGAATTCCAAAGACATGGACAATGGTCCACGATTGGGACTATTTTTTAGTAGTGCCGTGATGTATTGAGAGTAGGTCCTACCAAATAGGCCACGTTATTAAAAATGTCGGCAAACATAGGTTTTTTGTATTCTTAGGTATACCGCGAAACCTGTAGGTGATGGAAAACAATTTTGTATGGGACTTTTACTCAGGAGCACCCAAATATCATGGAAAACTTGAAATGGTTCGTGGAAATTTTTGGCTGTGTACCTGTGTTATTATTACTATTTATAGAACCTGTTATTGTAATATATATAATATATTTTATTGTAAGTAATTTTTATTGAAAGATAATTAAAGCTGATGTAGTCCTCA